ATCATGACAGTGGGTGCCTCTGTGAGCTTTTCAGTCTCTGTGGACTCACAGTTTATTTTTTAGTCATTTGCTTTATTCCTACTTCATTTCAAAATTTCTTCTCATTCATTTTTCTACTCATGTTATTTGAAGGTTGTACACCCTCAGTCCTATCTTTAGTGGTTAACTCAAATTATCTAGCATGCTCATCTCACAAACTAAAGTTACTTAGTTACCCTAAAAACTTGCAAGCCTTAATCATCCCACTCCTTATTACTAGGGCGCTGTCTAGTATTATAGCTCTACCTTAAAACCCTCTAATAATCCATCATTTATGGCTTGTGTCTAGATGTCTCCCCAAAACCCCAGGTGGTCATATGTGGGACTTTTCAGAGGTGGCTGGATCTAGGTTGTGTGACAGTGGGATAAATTCATGGTGCTGTGCTAGGATCAAGGGTGCAAGGATCAAGGCCTGAGTGCTAAGGGCCAGTACCCTGGACAAGATTAAGGGACAGAAAGAGGCTTGTCTCTTGGTGCTTGCTTGGTTTTGCTGTTTTCTGCCTGCACAAACTGTTTCTCCTCTGTGATGCCCCTCTGCCATGTGTTCTGCCTTGGAGTCAGCTGATTATGAAGCAGAAGGCCAGACATCGTGGTGCACACCTATAATCCCAGCACTCTGGAGGCCACAGCAGGAGGGTCACTACCAGTTCAAGGCTAGCCTGGGCTTCAGTGCGAGTTCAAGGCCAGTCTGAAGTGCATATTGAGATTCTGTCTCAACAAACAAACAAACAAACACTGTGAACCAAAATAAGCCTTTTCTCTTTTAACTTTGTCAGGTATTTTGTCTTAGCAATAAAGTCACTGAGACACCATTTTATAAGTGCTTTTAGATTGGCCTACAACATTTGCATTCCTCATTAGTGATGGTATCTCAGACTTTCTGTACAGAATACTTTTTCTTCTTCCTGAAGTGCAACCTCTACAATTTCCTTTATAATGAACTCTTTCCATTATTTCCCCAAAGATGGCTTAATTCTGCCCTTCTGTTTGAGACATAGTTTTAGTAAACAAAGACACTATTCTTTTAGCATATAGAAAATATTATTCTAATATACAGAAAGTCTTTTCCCACCCTTGTCACAGTCCAAGGAGATTTTATTTGTAATTCCATGGAAAAGTCATTGTGATTCTAGCCTGTTAATTCCAGTCTGACACTTCCAGTACAACCAAGGTGGGAATAAAGACTCTAACACATATTTATAATTATGAGTGGCCAAGGTCCTACATCCAGCCTAGATAGTGGCTCATCAGAACAAAGGCTTTGACTCAGGACCCAGCTCAGATTTTATTAATTCGTGAAGAAGGGAGTAGCTAGAGGATGAGTGACGCTGAGAATGGTGGGAGATGCAGGAGTCCCGTGAGCTGGGCTGGGTAGGAGGCTGAAAGCCCCTCTGCAATACGCAGAGAGAAGGAAATGCAGAAAGACCAAGCTGCGTGACACAATTGAAGTAGCATCTAGGGGTGGTGCTTCAGTTCTGATATGTAAACTTTTCTGCCCTGGGAAGTCATAGCCTCTGATCTCAAGACTAGAACCCAGTTGACAGCCCTGGAGCCGTGGCTTTTCATCCCGCCTGGCTCAACCATGTGTTTGGGAGTCACGGGACAGGGAAACAGTGACTGTCACCTAGCTTCAAAGGTGACACAGAAGCACCTCAGCCAGCCTATTTACATTGCTGAGAGCCAACTAAAGGGAAAAGGGAGTGGCTTAGCCAGCTCTGAACACATCAGGACATGGAGACAGGGCCAGGTTTAGCCAAAGTGGAGGTAATTGCTCTCCGTTCAAGGAGAGTTGTCCAGGTATCCTCCACACTAATGTCCTCTTGCTTTTACTGTTGCTACTGGGGATCCCTGTGGGCTGCCTGCTGGCCTCTGTATGTCTGCCAGAGTTCTGCTGTGGCTTGGCTTTCCCTGTAGCCCCAAGAGCCCTAGGCTTATTGTATTAGCAAGCTGCCCTCCTCACCTGGTACCTTGCTTTCGCCTCTCTGTGCCGGGTTGAGCAGCCTCTGCTGGCTGCTTTCACAACCCCTGAGCCCACGTCTATGTGGCCTTTCTTACTACCAGTCACAGTGAGCCTGAGTAGTTGCCTTCATGTTACTACAAGAAATACCTGAGGAAGTTAACTTTACAGACATAAAGGAATATTTGGCTTATTCTGTTTTGGGGACTGAGTCAAATAGCAGGGTGTAAGCTTGGAGGGTCATCTTTCGCTAACCTGCACCAAGGTGGCGGCATGTAGGAGGCCAGCAGCCTGCTTTTAAGAGGAGAGAACTGGGCTTCCTCCAAGCAGTCAGGGCTGAGGAGAACAGGGCAGGGGCTGGCAGTGGCTATGGTACAGGGAAGGGGAGAGGTAACCCTAGAGAGGGAGGTAGGCTGCGGGGCTGGGGAGCGCTGTCTCCACTGACCGTTCCTGGGTTGGGCTTCAAGGGCCATGTTGCTGTCGCTGTCAACTTTGCATATGGACAAGTCCAGTCCCAAAGGTAACAAACGCTGTTGTGGATGTTGGAAAACTGATGTCCTGGCACATTGGTGGAGGCGTAAGCTAGTGTGGCACATGGAAGGGTGCAGGGAGGGTCCAAAGGGTTGAAAAGGAGAGCTGTCTTCTGCTCCAGCCATTCTGAGAGTGTATCCAGAGGAAGCAAAGTCTGTCTGTCAGAGAGAAGTCTGTGTGTCCATGTGCATGGCAGCACTGTTCCCGCGGCCAAGGTGGAGGACGAGCCTGAGGATGGTTGGGTGCCATAAAGGCTGGAATGCTGCCGTTTCTGACAACATGGATGACCCACAGGACATCAGCCAGACAACAGAGGGGCACTCACTGTAAGAGGTTACTTACCCAGGAAATCTGAAAATGTTGGACTCATAAACACTGACGGAAGCACGGGGGTACTTGGGGGCTGGGAAAAGGACGCGGAGATGTGGGTCAGTCAGATGAATTGTGACGACTGTAGTTGGTTTGCAAACAGAAGCATCTGATAACATTTTTTTTGTTTGAAGCTGCATCAGATGACAAGCTTGACTGTGGCCATCCTTCCCACACCAACGCGACAGCAGACATTTTTCTGAAATAGTGGATAAAATAGTTTGTGAACCAAGGTACCGCATGGTATTTCAAAATTGTCAAGAGTATAGATTGTGCTATTACCACAATAATTCGGTATGTACATGAGGTAATGCTTATGATAAGTAATTTGAGTTACCTCCTTGCAGTGGCTACACATACCAAAATATCAGGTTGTCTACCAAAATCTATACAATTTTTGTCAAGTAAGGAATAAAAATAGCTAAAAGACAAAAAAGACGTTTGTTTAGAAGTAAAGGTGACAGGTCGTACGCCACTCTGACAAAACTGTGAAGCCCCCATTCCATCATACCTTGGTCTCTCCAGCAGCAGGAGGTGCCAGGGGGGCTGGCAGTGACTCTGCCCCTTCCTCTTTTGGCCTCTCTTGCTTCTTCCCTGCACAGCCTGCCTAGGGGCGGGGCTGCTGCTCTGATTACCTTTTGGAGGGAAAGGAGGAAATTGGTGGTCCCCAAATGTGTGGCAGTGTTTGGCAGCGCAGTGGCCTCTGTGCCCTCTGCTGTGGCTTTCAGGATAGGGTGGGTGTGCACCATGCTGGATAGGTGAACCATGGTGGGATCTGAGCACAGGTGAGCATGGCCCCGAGGACTCAGTGGGAAGTGGTCACAGACAGCAGCAGCTCTCAGAGTCACAGAAATGAGCAGCTCAGCTACGCCCACCCTGTGCTTAGCACTGACCATGAGCTCCCGTTGGTCAAATGCACACCAGGGGCTGATGGGTGTGTGTGCAAAGGGCAATGTGTTGTAACTCACTGCTCCCTGAAGACAGCAGAGGATCCCATGACCGAGTGTCTTCACAGCTGCTCTGTGAGAATCATCTCGAACTCCAGGTGACTCAGGCCTAGTATGCCTTTGAAGGCAGTGGCTATGGCGACTTAAATCTCCAGGGACACTGGAGAGGTGGAGGCCTTTGCAAAATATCTGATGGCCAGAGGAGGGCAGAGTAGGGGAGTGAATTGGTTTCTTCTGCCATCTCTTCCTCTCCTCAGCTCCTGCCCTCCAGAGTCTGACTCTCCATGTACACAGTCCCTCCTCATTTTTAACTTTCTATCTCTGTGACAAAATACTGGGAAAATGGCATCAAGGGGGAAAGATAACCGGTTTCAGAGGTTTCAGCTCATGTTCACTTGGCTCCGTGGCTCCCAGGCGTATGGTGAGGCAGACATCACGGCAGGACAAGGGCTACGTCCAGGCATGTGTTCAGCGGCCCCTTCTCCAGCGAGGCTCCACCTCCTGAAGGTCCCACCACTTCCCAGTAACCCCACATCTTCAGTATATGACCCTGGGACATTTCAGGTCCAAACGTTTACCGCGCCAGGTATGCCCTCCATCCTAGGATGATACCGCTCTGACCAGGGTGGGACACCTTAGAGGGTTCTGGTCCTTGAGCCAAAGGGAGGCTCTGACTTCACCCCATTTAAGAGACTGTATTTGGAGGAAGTTCTTTCAGGCTGTCAGGGAAGATACTGTTTTCAGGGTGTCACTTATGGTTCCACAGAGGTAAGTGCAGCTGTGGTCATCAGTCATTCTGGGGAGTCCTTAAATCAGGCCTCTAAGACTCCCCACAGAGCAGTGCCTGCTGACGCAGATCTGAAATCAATAGATGCTAATTCCGGTTCATTACTAACTCCTTGCTTAACCAATTAATCTAAATTAGTGGCTTTATTTGGAAGAACACATGATCAACTCAGGGCCTGTGGAGAGTGCCCCAGGGCCAACAGTTAGATGTGCAGAGCCAGGATGCCCCTGTGGATGGAGAGGAGTGCGGTTAGTCCAAGCTCTTGCCTTCCTTCCTGGTCCCATATAGCAGGGTCTGCTCACGGGATGTGGGTGAGTGGCGGAAGGGTGCAGCATCCATTGACTGTTTTTGTTTGTTTTTTTCAAATCAGGAATTATTAGCCGAGAAAATGCAGAGGATCTCCTGGAGAACATGATGGAGGGTGCGTTTCTGGTCCGAGTCAGTGAGAAGATCTGGGGCTACACCCTCTCTTACCGCCTGCACAAAGGCTTCAAGCACTTCCTTGTGGATGCATCTGGGGACTTTTACAGCTTCCTGGGCGTGGACCCCAATCGCCACGCGACTCTCACGGATCTCATTGATTTCCACAAGGTGTCCCTCTTCAGTGTGCCAGTTGGGGTGAAATGATGAAACTCTGGGGCCTAGAGAGGGCCAGGAAGCACGGGAAGCACACAGCTCCACATCAGGGGCCGTGGAGTCTCAGGGTCCTAGAGCAGCAGGGAGGAGTGTCCAGGCCAGGCTCTGGGGCCACTGCTCGCCCCTGCCTCCTCCTCTGACTCACAGTGTCTGGCCACTCTGCTCCAGGCCTCTTCCCCTGGAGGCCTGGTGCTCCCGGGTGCATGTCCCTCCTCCAAGCCCAGGCTGGCTCAGAAGTGGCGCAGCATGCTCTAGCTGGGCGTCTCTCAGCTTCAGAGCTCAGTGCAGCACAGCTGGCAGCTCTGTGGCCAGAGCAGCTTCTCCAGGGATGTACCAAACCCCTTCTCTTCTCTGAACCCCAGTTTTACCACACATTTCACACTCATTTCGTGTGTGGCCTTGGACAGGACACAGTCTCTGAGCACCCGTGGCCTAGCTGAGAGTCTTACTGCCTTTTGTAGGAGTGGGTTATTTATAAAGAACAAGCTTGTCTCATGGTTCTGGAAGTGTCTGGCAGGGGCTTTCTAGTTTCATCCCCCATGGTGGAAGGTGGAAGGTCAAAAGGTCCAATGAGAGTAGGAGGGGGCTGAACTGCACTCCCGAGATGGGGCATCAACCTGCTCATGTAGGCAGAGCCCTTGTGGCCTGATCGCCTCAGACAAGTGCCACCTCTTCATGCCCTACCATGGCAAATTATGCCATCAGCAGTGCTCATGGGGGCACAGAATGAAGCCGTAGCAGAGGCACAAAGCACACATCATACTTGACTGGTGTCCTAGTCACTTTCCTCAGTGCTGGGACAAATTACTCAACATCCAGAATTTAAAGGAGGAAGATTCTATTTTGGCTCATGTTTTGATGGCTCCCAGGTGGAAAGCTTGGCAGAGGGGCCTGGCAGTGGAAAAGCTGCTCCCACTCTGGTGGCCAGGAGGCAGAGAGAGAGAGAGAGAGAGAGAAAGAGAGAGAGAGAGAGAGAGAGAGAGAGAGAGAGAGAGAGAGAGAGAGACACTGTCCTAGGTCACAGCCCCGGTGACCTCCCTGCTGACCAGGTCCTTCCTACTAATGTCACATGTGGTTATGTCACCCCACCCCGTCCAGTCAGTCACCTTCACAAGCCCTGCACATGAGGCTTTGGGGGGCTAGGTTCTTGGCAGCTTTAGATGAGATCATGCGCATCACAGCACCCAGGCTCCATCTGCGCTTTGCAGGTGCAGGAGGGGCCACAGGGCCACTGGATCCTCTTGCTGGGCATTGATACAGTAGGGCCTCTTGGACCGGTGTTGCTTTCTCCTCATCCCTGTCCCTGGGGCAGGAGAGGTATGTAGCTTGTAATCTTTCTTGCGATTGAAGCATGTAGCAAACCACATGTCACAAGGACCTAGACCCCAAGTATACAGTGCTGCCCAGAAGACAGGACTAGCTGGAAGCTAAGCAGGTGGACTAATCCGTGCAGATCACTGCTGGTCTCGGGTTCCAGAGGAGAAAGTGGAGGGTGGCAGTGTGTGGCCACCAGGCCCTCCTCTGAGTCCTGCCTGCAGCCCCTTATATCACCCAAGCCTCTCTCCTTTGGTCCTCACACAGCCCTGCTGGGGGTGTACATGAGTCCTGCCTCACAGATCTGAAAACCAAAGCCAGGGAGGGTAAGAAACCCAGCCAAAGTCTCCCAGCTGTGTCAACTGGGTCCAGGAGTTAAGTAATCTCAAGGCTCTGTGCCAGTAAAGTCCGAGTTCATCCCGCTAAATCCCAGGTTCTTTGCTGTCCAATATGAGCTGCTCTACCAGCACAGAGTGCCTGTCCCTTTGTTCCTAGCGAAGGGTAAACGCCCCTCTCTCAGGACAAGCTTCTGAACAGCATAGTTGGGCCAGATATCCTTGAAGGCTCTTTGACCTGCCAAATCTAAACTTTAGAGATTGACAGATAGAGAGACACCATTTACGCCATGTAGAGATCTGGTGGCCAGATTCAATAAATTAAAATTTTAATTACACAATTCATTCACGCTCACATTTGAAGAAAAATCAAATGCAGTGCAAAATGAAAACCTCGTTCATTTCAAATCCTTGTTTCCCTCCTCCATGGGATGAATTGCAGCTTTGCATGTGTTTAGCCTAGGATTGCCTAGGATTGCAATCAAAACCTATGTTCATAGGAAAATACATGGTTTTGATACTTTTCACAGAAATTGGTTAGCTCTTCCTACAATGCTCAGCAACCTGACTTTGGAGAGAGCTCCCTAAGTACATCGCACAGCTTCATTTTCCAAAGCGTCATCTCTGGAATCACAGTTGGGAGTTTAAGTCCCAGCCTCACTGCCGTGTGTGACTCTGGGAACCACTCACACTTTGGTGCCTTGGTTCCCTCCACAGCATGTGGCTTAATGACCGGCACTTACCTATAAGGTTCTGGTGAGGTTTCAACAAGGCATCACTGTGTAAAGTGTTGAAACTACAGTATCCCCAGCATTGCAAGTCACCATGCTCTGTCTGCTGTTATTAAAATGTGTTGATGAGATGTCGGTGTTAGTGCATTCTCCGGCCTATGTGACAGTTTAACCACCTGCTGTCTCTTTCCATGAACGCATGGGCCTTCCAGCTTCTTGTGACCGCAAACACTGCCACAGAGACTTCTGCACTGTGTATATGTCACCGAGTCATTGTGGATACATGCTGAGTATCCCTGGAAATGGAATTGCTGGAGAGAAAAGTATGCACATTTTAATTGGAAAAGACCTGACAGATTGCCCTGCGAAGCATGGTGCCAGTTCATGTTGCTGCCAAAGCTGCAAGAGGCCTAAGCCCTGCACTGTGCTGGCGCTGAGGACTCGATCATTTAATGTTCCCTGTCAGATGGGCAGAGGCTGTGTCTCGCTATTGTTTAGTTGGCATTTCTCTGATTACCACGACACAGAGGATTTTCTCATGTGCTAAATGGCCCCTTGGATTTCTCTGTGATTCATCTGTTCATATGCTTTGTATATTTTTCTATTTAGATGTCTCTTCCTTATTGATGTGACAATTCCTTCAGCTGCTAAATTGCTCTTCAGTTGTGACCATTCTGCTTTTCAATTCTCCTGCTGAGATGTTTCTTTTTAATTTGTCTGGTCATTGTTTTCCTTTGCAGATCCATTTTTAGAAAATAATAGCCCATTCTTGTTTCACAGATGACTTCTCTGATTTCACTCAGCAAGTTAACACACATCTCTTAAAGGCACCTTCTGCTTGTTTTATAAACTTGGTATTTTCTTGGGAATCAGTTGTATTATTGAGTCTGGCATCTTGCTTTTATAGCTCTGATTGTCCTCAAATATTTATACATTTTGGGTTCCAAAGTGATCCTCCAACTTTAAATCTCCTGATTATCCTTGAGGGGACCCAGTTGCTGTTTCCCAAATCAGTTCTCCCCATGTTGCATTTGACAGTGGGCAGCTCATCCTTTGGTCTCCCCGGAACTGTTCAGGTCTCCTCATTTTCTGATCTGCCTGAGGCAAATGCTTGCTCAGAGTTCTGTCCCCAGCCTGACCCGACTTCGCTGGGCTTGGCCCTGCATTGACTGTGAAGAGCACATCCTGTGGGTTTTTGTTTTTCAGTGATTGCTCAACACTGTGACATTGTTGATGGTCAGGCCTTTTATTTTCCAGCACCTTAAAATAGATGTCTTCACAAAGACAAATTTTTTTTGCCCTTATTTCTATGGACTTGAGAGAGGGGGAAACAAAGGTATGGTCTTAGTTTTTCTGTTTTGAACCAGTTTGTTTCAGGTGAATGTTTTATAATCCTTTCTTGATTATGAGTAGTTTTTCTTTTTTCCCTTTTAGGAGGAAATTATCACCATCTCTGGGGGAGAGTTGCTACAGCAACCCTGTGGACAGAGGGAAAGCCCGCCTGACTACCACTTATTGTTTGAATGATAGTTTTGCCCTTCTTCAGTTGGGTTCCTTTGGGAAACTTCCCCCAGAGCCCAGCTTAAGAACTTTGCAGCTCAAATTCTTATGGCCTTCAGCCTTCAGCGAGTCCACCACAATCCAGAGGCACAAGAGGATCTGCATATCTCAAACTGTGCTAAACCCGAGGCGTTTGTGCTACTGTCCCCATCCCTGTGTGCAGGACAAACATTGCTAGTGGCTGATGCAAACTGTTTATGGAGAATCTAGCTCTGACCTCAAAAAGTGATGCTTATTTGTCATGACTGCCTTAAACCACACTTCTAGAGTGCGTGGGCCATGTTCTGATAATTCAGAATAATTCTAGTGCCGAGCCCTCCATCTAATATATGGTAGACTGTCACTAAGCGTTTGTTGAAGAAATGCAGCTCTTCTGACAGTTTTGCAACATGACCCAGTGTGATTACTTCTTCCTTCTCACTCTTTATAAAGTCATGAAAATACAAAGACAAATTGCAAAGTATTTATAAGGAGAACACAGAAGTGACATTCTTCATGACCTTCATCACACTTGTTGATGTTTCCACAGGAATTACCTGAGGCCTCCAAACCCCAGCTTCCAGGACAGGTGACTGAGTCTGCGATGCCTTCATTATTTGGTATCTCTCTTCCACTCTCTTGTGTCTTTGTGTCATATCTTGGCCCTGGCTTTGGAATATTAAAGTAGTGAGTTTATCTATTCCTACAGATGTGCCCAAGACCAAGATTGAATTATTAATCCAAGAATGGTGTTTGAACCTCTAACAAGATTGTAGTCTCTAGGCTGCTGTCTGCCTGAAGTTATTCAAATGATTAGCTCTGTTGTCTCTGCTTTTTTGATTTTGATGCTATTGTCTACTTAATCTGAGTATGTTCTTCATATTAATAGGAAGACTCTCCCAGTGATGGCCCAGTAACTCAAGGATGGTGTCTATTTGTGCATAACCATGTCCCATACATAGGACCATAGACCAGGAGACAGCAGATTGTGGTAGTAAAATTACAGGTCCTTGGATCAAGAAGACCTGGATTTGGAACCACAGTCTTGGTGCTCACCACCTTGCAGCAGAGTGCTTGGTGACTATACAGACACAAAGGGACTCTAGGGACATCAGGGGCCACTTAACCTTTCTTGTAGCTTCAGCAAACCTCTCTTATGCCTTGCTTGCTCTCTTGCCTTACCTGTTCCCCATGCCTTTGGCCACTTCCCAAGGCACTGTCACTATAACCCATTTTGCTTGGGCTCTGCTCTTTCTCCTTCTGTTGATCACTCTCAAGCCAGCAGTGCCACAGGCTCCTCCCTCTGGATGCCAGGATGCAGAAGAGCTGGGAGGTCAGTGTCCATGCAGTGAGCCCTGGACCAAAGGAGACTGAGGCAGGTGAATTGTTTTTTGCTCCTGCTCCTCCTGGAGGACTGACTCGGGGGCTGCTCTTCACACAGCCTCTTACAAGACAGATCTGCAAGATGGAGCAGACAATCACGATGACACCCAGCAGTGGCCAGAACAGATGACACCTCTATGTGTGCCTCCTACCTGTTGGCCTCACTCCATCTCCATTTGCACCTCTAGGATAGCCAAGGAATAACCCAGAGGCACTGGGCACAGGCTCTGCCCTTTGGGGACCTCAGAGAATCCCCATCACAAAGGTGTTTAATAACATCAACTTTGCAATTTCCAGAGATTCCTTCCCTGTCTCCCCTGGTAGATGAAAGGAAGTAGTAGGAGGATCCTGGCTTCTGAGGACTAAAATATCATTAAAGTCACCATATATCTATGAGGTCTTGGCAGAACCAAGTTTTTAAAAACATTTTTGGTTCTGCTATGTATCAAATTGAAATTAAGGAGGAGGAGGAGAAGAAGGAGGAGGAGGAAGAAGAGGAGGAGGAAGGAGAGGAGGAGAAGGAGAAGAAGAAGATGAAGAAGAAGAAGAAGAAGAAGAAGAAGAAGAAGAAGAAGAAGAAGAAGAAGAAGAAGAAGAACTACAACAAAATTTCAAAACATCAGTCAGGGGGCAACAATCGTATATACATTGTGCATTGTCATTTCCAAATCATTCACCCAGAGCACAAGACATCTGCATTCAATTGTCCAAACAATACCAGCATAAATCTTTCCCTTTAGTGAACTCAGAGCAATTAGTAGTATAACTATCTTAACTATATATATATATATATATATATAACTATTTATATATATATATATATATATAAATGCATACACATGTACATATGTTGTTTCAGCTTCTCACACTAATGAGACAATATGATGCTTACACATGTGTTCTTATTTATTTCACTTATGAGTATGGTCTCGAGTTGCATGCATTTACCTGTAAAAGTCTCCAGTTTATCCTTCTTTATTATTGAATACTACTACATCATAGAAAAATAACTCATCTTTTTTATCCATTCCTTAGTCAATGGTCGTTTAGGTTGTTCCCAAGATCTAACTATTGCAAACTGTGCTGCTATAAACATGGGCGCACATACATCATTGTGATATAATGCTCTTTTGGGAAGATTCCTAGAAGGAGAATAGCTGGATTGAATGTGACCTCTAGTCCTAGTTTTTTGAGGAATCTCCACATTGATTTCCATAGTGGTTGCACCAGTCTGCATCTCCTCCAACAGTGGAGAAGGATTCTTTTTTCCCCACAGCCCCTCTAGCACTTATTATTGCTTAATTTCTTGATAGTAGCCATTCTTTTTGGCAGTGAGGTAGAATATCAGTGTCATTTTAATTTGCATCTCTCAAATGAGCAGTGATGTTGAACTTTTTTTACATATTTATTTGCTGTTTGTATTTCTTCATCTGAGGAATGTGTGTTTATCTCAGATGCCTGTTTTTGAGCTGGATCTTTAAGTTTGGGAAGGCTGATTTTTTGAGTTCTTTATATATTCTCAATAGTAATCTTTTGTCTGAGGTGCATCTGGCAAACATTTTTTAAAAATTTTATTTAAGGAGAAAAAGAAAAAAAAACATAAAAAGGGTACAAGTTATACAGAATTTCAAAAAAATATACAATAGGAAATAATTATTTAATAGATCACATATTGTCATCTTAGAAATGGTTGTTCAAGTTACAAAATTAAAGCATATAAAGTGGACATTCAAACAGTGAGACTGCAAACAGCTCTGTTCAATGATCCATCAAAAACCCAGTAATATGGTTATCTATCTTATATGCTTAAATATACATGCAGTTATATCCTTTAGAGCACTTTGTTTTCCTCTCTTTTTTACAATGACAATTACACATTTTGGGTTTTATTACTCCCACAGTTCTTATTACTTTTTTTTTCAAGAGAATAAAATCAAATGTGACATAACAAAACAGAGTCAGTCAAATAAAAAGGATGGACATAGTACATAATGTAAAAACAGAATACAAGGTGATCAACAATGGTTATTATAATGCCTTTTGCTATCTTAAAAAGAATTGCCTATATCATCTGTTATAATAAAATTGAATAAAACAGTAAAGAACAAAACCAATAAAACTAAAACATTGGAGACATTATGGGACTTCACAAGAAGATAATAGTCAAACCAGAACGGGCATCATAGTGAATCTTATTGCCTTCACAGTTGTTGCTTATACTCTCAAACTTGGTACTATCAAGCAAGATCGAATAGAGTAAAATCAGTCAAAACAAGTTGGTGAGAGCATACAGGATTTCAAGTCAAATTAATAGGAAATCAAAGTGGGTTACTATACTATATCCTGCTATTTTTTGTTTTTTTCTCTTAATTAGAAAGATAAAAATAAATAATAAAAAAGAGGGATTGAGATAAAAGAGGATATAATAAAACAGCACAGGTCAGAACATAATCATTTACACAAAATAGTGTTTCACTACAAGATATCTCGACATAAAAATAATTACCGTAGTGGCTCTTTCCTTGAAATCTTTGAGTATAACTTCATATGCTGTAGCATCAAACATATCAAGACAATGTAAAACCATTCAAGAGAATGCCAGTATTACAGGGTATTTAGAACCAACTAACAGAAAATGAATAATGGTTTCCATATAATCTCCTTGTCTATAAAAGTATTTGTTTATATTATCACATATAATAAAATCCAATAAGATACAACCTGTTCAGATCAGTGGAGACAGAAGAACAAAACCTTGATGGGACTTCAAAACAAGATGATATTAAATCAGCACTAGCTATTATGATGTCTTGTTTTCTCCAAAATAGCTGTTCATACCATCTATTCTCCGCCTCATTTATGTTGAACTCTTTTTCTGTCATTAGTTGTCAGTTTGTCTTCTTCATTTTGCTTTCTGCTCCATTCATTGTGGCTTCTCTGCCACTATTTCTGGAATCTTGGTATTTTTCTCTTTTAGAATGTCCTGCAGTATTCTCTGTAGAGTTGAATTGGTGGTTGCAAACTCCCCTAGTTTCTCTGTATCTTGGAAGCAGCTTGTTTCTCCCTTAATTTCTAGGGACAGTTGTGCAGGATATATCAATCTTGGATGGAGGTTATTGTCTTTCAAAGCTTGAATTATTTCACCCCATGCTCTTCTTGATTTGATGGTTTGTGCTGAGAAGTCTGCTGTAATTCTGATGAGTTTTCCCTTGTAAGTGATCTGTTTCTTGTCTCTGACAGCTTTTAATATTCTGTTCTTATATTGGATTTCTGGACTTTTGATTATTATATACCTGGGTGTAGTTCTGTTTGGGTTGTAGGTGGCTGGGGTCCTGTATGCCTCATAGATCTGAGTATCTTTACCTTTTCCCATATTAGGAAAGTTCTCCTTGATTATTTCTGTGAATAGCCTTTGCAGTTCATTTGTTTGTATCCCTGCTTCTTCTTTTACATTCTTAATTCTTAAATTATAGATCCTCGTATCATCTTCTAGCCTTTGTATTATTGCTGTTTGTTTTCTTGTTATTTTTAAGAAGTTTTTCCTCTCATGCTCCCACATTACAAATCTGTCCCTCCAGTTCAGATAATCTATCCTTAGTTTCTTTCAAGCTGTTATGCCAGCTTTCAATAGAGTTTTTAGTTTCCTGGTAATCTCTTTGAATCTGCTTCATGTATTCTATGTTTTTTCTATTTTCTTCATCAAACAATTCTCCCCTTTTTTTCTGTTCTTCCATTCCACCATATGTTTTTTCTTGGGAGGTGCTTAGCATTTCTTTAACTATTCTACTTATATCTTGCTTTACTTGGTTAAATACGCCACTTTTGAACTCGTTTATGAGGTCCCGGAGATATTGCTTTATGTCAATTGGTGCTGTGCCCTGATATTGCATGTTTTCTGTCCTCATTCTCCTTTGCACTTACCTTTCCTGGATCAGTGTTCACAGGACTGGGGACTGAGAATCCTTTCTTGTTGCTCCCTCTTTCCATACTTTTTGTTCCTTCCATACAAGTATATATAGGAGACTCAGTTTCTTTCTTTGTGGGTTACAGTTTGTTTGAATCACACCGGCCAGGTGTTCCCACCCACTGCAATGTACTAGGGAGACACAGACCTGGGCAGCCTATGCTGGGCCCGCCCCTCCAGTTCAGTTAACCTGCTGAAGGCTACCCTGCATTAGGGTGCACTGCCAGGCACAGGGACCTGGTTTGGGCTAGCCTACTGGGTCGTAGTCCACGTTGTCACCCAAGTTAAGCACTCCCCACCAATCCCGCCTGAGAGGGGAATATGACTGAAGTCACTGTGGTGTCCTGTTCCGACTAGTCTGCCTGGTCTCAGAATGATCTCTGTTAGAGCCTCCTAGTCTATGGAAGGGTCCCCATTCTTCTCACTCACTGCAGGTCAATGCAGGGCTCCAAAATTTTTTTTCCACGTTGAGTGTTGTCTCTTCACCCTGTTGGTGGTTCCTCTTACTGTGCATGAGCTTTTCAGTAGGGTGAGATCCCAGTTGTTGATTCTTTGAGATAGTTCCTGTGCAATCTGGATTTTGTTCATAGTCTTTGCCTACATCAATGTCTTCAAGAGTTTTACCTATTCTACATTCCAGAAGAATTAATGAGAATTGAAATTGTTAAATGCATTTAATTTTGCAAAACTTCTGTATAACATGGAAGAAAATTTTTTATGGCAATCATTAGTTGTTTTGGCAGATCTATTAAATGGTTAATATGGAAACTGTTTAAAGGAGAGGTGTTGCTCACTATAACAGCAAACTGAGACAACTTCACACTCAGTGGTAATCTAGATGGATGTGATGGGATTTTCGACAAGTTGGGAGATCTTTCCAGCAGCAGCTTTGAAAGCAGACCAAGAAAGGTTGGGAACCTGAATCCCCCGCCTGTTGCTGCTGTCACCTCCTAATTAATATGTGGCAGACAACTGCTGAGTTTTCTGTCCCTAACACCTACATTTCATCTTATTTGGGACCTGAACTTTCTGCATGTCTAATATATTTTAGGTTTTACCTGGCTTTAAAATAAATTCCTTGTAAGTTGTCCTGCAGATGAAATTACTCTCTGGAAAACTGCAATTTCATCTTGAGAGTTTTATTATGCTAATAAATGTCAGAATTCTCAAATAGAGGAATTGCCTCTTTTTTTTTTCTGGAGCCCTACAAATATAATGAAAAAAAAGTCAACTATAACACTCAGCAGAGAGAAAATTTACACTCTATAACTAGAAAGAGAAGTTGTAAAGAACACTATGCAACTTAATGGAAGATAAATTTCAGGCAATGAAAAGGCAGCTTGATATACAGATTCAGGAGACCCCTGAGTGACAAATGTTTTAAGGACCATCCAGTGATTCAGGGGCTTAAACAGGGGCATGGACATAGTGGGACTCTAGAGAGAGGCATGCATGTGGAGATCTGGGGCTGAGGGACTTTGTTCCCTTTCAGTCCCTTTAAAGTTTTCTTTATTATCAGGACTAACTTGGAATCCCAGATGAATTTCTCTATCTCTGGGCCATAATTTATTGTGAAATGGGTGAGTTCTGACAGATTCAGAAAGAGGCAATGAAAACAGTATAAAAATTTATGAATATAAATAACACATTATAAAAGCCTTATGTATGTGAATTCTCACTACCAGGCTTGAAGAAGACAATACTTTTATCTCCATCCTATACTTGGGAAACTGAGGCATGGAAAGGTTTGTAGATTTCCCAGAGTCACTTCTCTGGGATGATATAGCACAGAGATAGGTCATAGTGTGGCCTCTGGGTCCATGTGAGCCTTAAGCCAATGCTGCTCTGACTGATGTGTGAACTGAATCTGTGGTGATGTTAGAAACCCAGATTCTCCATCAGATATCTGAATACTTACATCAGTTTAAAAGAAGAAAAGGTTCAGTTTTGCTCATGGTTCCCAGGGCTCCAGTCCATGGTCTCTTGGTCCTATTGCTTTGAGCTTATGGTAGTATGGTGCATGTTGGCAGAGAGCATGTGGCAGGGAGGCTGCTTTAACATTCAGAATCCTCTGTGATAGAAAAGCCCCACTGAGTACACCTGCTGCTTTAGGTTAGAATCCCAAGTCTACTGCTTTTCAGTTGTTAAGAGGAATACAGAAATACGCATGCAAACACATGAGACTGAGAAAGTACAAGAGTTCTGCTGACAGCAAGTCTGAAATGGGGATTTTGAGAGTTGAAACTGAAGTCATATCTTGCAAATCTCATTTATGAGAGGCTCAGTGGCATAAGCATCTGCCTTGCAAGCAGGCAGCTGTGAGTTTGATCCCCGGTACTGATAAAAACAAAAAAGACCCCCCCCCCCAAATCTCTTTTATGACTCACAGAATAGAAGAATCATGTCAAGCCAAATATCCAGGAAGAACTTAAGCTTGCTTTCCTTTAACCAGCTCATGAGATCTGTGTGAAAAAGAAGACATCTTACATATAAGTGGATCCAATAGAAACATTATGACTTATTAAAAAATTGTAATCAAGTGTGCATAACATAAAATTCATTATTTAATCCATCTACAGTTCAGTGGCACTAAGCACATTTGCATTGTTGTGCAGCTATCAACATGATCTTTCTAGAACTATTCTCATATTGCAAATCTGGAACTGTTTCCAGGGGAATTATGACCCAGCCCTTTAAGGGCCTGAAACAGTAAGATCCCAAATTTGAGCTCAGCATGGGTAACTTAGCCATTTACCAAGAACCTATCTCAAAATAAAAAAAAAAAATTAAGGCCTGGGGAAGTAGCTCATTATGAAGATTCTGGATTTATTCCCAGCACCACAAAATCAAGAAAGCAATCAAACAAACAAATTAATATAAAAACAAACCCAGTTTCCCACAATAATTTTCTAAACCAGCCCTCTCCATCCCCTGACATGCATCATTTTACTCCGTCCATTTGAGTGTGACTGCTCCTGGTATCTCATAGAAGTGGAATTATACAATATTTGTGCTTTTGTGGGTTTTCACTTATAATATTTTTAAGGTTCATCCATTCTGTGACACCTGCCAGAATTTCCTTTCTGAGCTATGTAACACTCCAGATTACATGTACATTTTATTTATCCAGTCCTCTGCAGATGGATGGTTGTATAGCTTCCACTGTTTGGCAACTGAGGCTCATAAAGCTGTGATGGACACACATGTACAGCCCAAAGTTCTTGGGCTTTCAAGATAAGACTGTTGACCATTTCAGCAGGTGCCTTGTTTAGAGATCCTGATGAGTTGCTGCCAAGGACATTTACTTTAAGCTCCTGGCCTCAGTAAGCATTCTTTCCTAGCTGGTTCCTCTGATGGATGCTTTCCCTTGCTTAATAACTGAATAAACCTAACTTTGGCTGCCTGTGTGCTCCTGGTGGGCTTCACCCCATGGGCCATAAAAGGAGAACATCGTGAAACCATCCATGATAAACACTCAGTAAGCCTCAAGTATCTTGATTTGCAATCTCTTGACACCTTTTGATGCTGAGCATTTTACTCACATGTTTTAGTCACTTGCATGTCTTCTTCTGAGACATGTTTGTTTAGATAATTTGTGTGTGTAAAAAGTTTTTTTTTTACTTTCTTTAGATATTAATAGGTATCCTATTGGATGCATCCTATATCTAGTGTCTTCACTGCATTGATTGATTTATTTCTCTGCAAAAGTTTCTTAGTTTGTTGTAATCCCGTTTCTCTAGTTATGCTTTTGTTGCATAGATCTTTGGGAACTTATAAGATTTACTGCCTATACTGATACCTCAAAGTGTTTTCCACATGCAATCATCAGCAAAATGCAAATCAAAGTCACAATGAGATACAATCTCACCTGAGTCAGAGTGGCTATTATTGGAAAGTAAAAAAATAGGAAATGCTGATGAGGATGCTGAGAAGAGAGAATTTTACATGCTGCTGGTGTAAGCATAAATTAGTTCTATGTCCACTTTTTTTTTTCATTTTCAGTGCTGGGGATTGAACCTAGGGCCTCAGGCATGACAAGCAGGCAATCCATCGCTGAGTCACAGGCCTGACCCATAGCATGATTGTGAAAAACAGTAGGGAAAAGCCTCAAAAAAAAAGAAAAACCCTAAAAACAGAGCTATAGAGTGTGATCAAAATACCATATAGGGTGCATATGGAAATAAACTTTATTATAGTAAAAGATACATTGCCGTGAGTCTGTCTCTCACTTTGAACACACTGATCCTGTCATCTTTGCCACTTGCGAAGCAGTTCTGGAAGTCCTCTTTCATGAGAGTCTTTGCTGTTGCCGTGTGCCATCCAATGGAAAAGCAGGATTATTAAACTTGCAGTGCATCCTCATCCACTCGGTTCCAGGGTTCTGACACTGTGCACCCTCTGGCGCTTCCCCAAAGAGACCATGAACAATAAATCTTTTGAATCAACTCAGAACATCAAGGCAGCCACCACAGCATAGTTAAGGAGATTCATGAAAGAGAACTTCCAGAAGAGCTTCAGAAAGTGGCAAGAAATAGGGGAGGGTTTGTTTAAAGCAAAGTGGAGGATTTTGAGGAGGCTTAATGACAATGTGTCTTTCACTGTAATACATTTAAGTTTTTAAAAAATAATCATCTTATTTTTTTGGTCATATTTTGTATATATTCATAGGAAATGAAACCAATATATCAAAGTGAGACCTGCCCTACCCTGTTTATGGCATAACTATTCCCAATAGCGAAATCAACTGGGCTGTTCACATATGGATGCACATTATAAATCATAAATTATAGCATAGATAATAGTATATAATTCAGCAATGAAGGGTGAAAACTTTTCATTTGTGGTAAAGTAGATGAAAACAGAGGACTTCATGCTAAATGAAATAAGCTAGGCACAGAAAGACAGATACTGTATATTCTCATTTTGTGTGAAGGTAAAATGTTGATCTCACAGAAGAAAGAGTAACAATTGATCACTAGGGGTTAAGCAGGACAAGGAGTAGGATTACAGAGGGAGGTTGGATACCAGGTATCAAAATACAGTTAGCAGGGCTAAGGTCTGGTGATCTACAGTACAGTGGGCTGACTATGTTTATAACAAGTTATTATGTATTTCATAAAGAACTAGAAGAGGGTTGGGAATTTAGCTCAGTGTCATAAATGCCTGCCTGACAAACATGATGTTGTGAGTTCAACCCCTGGTACAAAAACAAACAAACAAACAAACAAACACCAAACAACTAGAAGAGAAGAGTTTGAAGCCTCCAAACACAAAAAAATGATGAATGTTTAAAGACATTGAAAATATCAGTAACCCTGATTTGAGCGATATACATAAATATGCATATTTGTATTATCCATTGTATGTGCTATCTAAATACTGCAAATTTTATAAATATGTACAAATATCACATAGATTAAGAATAAATTTAGAAAAGATCCAGTGTCTTCTCTCCTCTTATAATACTGAGTATAACAAGCAAAAACCCAGAGACATGAAAGTGTGTTTTTGTGTGTTTATATCAGTATAGGCCTCAAATGCATTATTCAACAAACCCTATTCCTCACACAGAATAACTATTGCACACAGAATAAACATTTGTATAACCATCTTTTTAAAAAAGGACATTTTGTCCAGATTCCTAGCTATGAGCCATGGGCCTTAGGTACTTCTGGAAACCTATGTGGTAAGGGAAATTTACACCAACCATTTGGTGTTGGCCATTTAGCTAGACCATGCATGACTTGGCCTGCTAATCATACAGTTTTTCCTGACTTGTATATTGCCAGTGAGGTGCCATGTTCCTTTGCTGGCATGCCTCTGGATAATCTCCCTCTCATTCTCACATTGTCTTGGTTAATTTCCCCCTCATTGCTGAGATAAAACACCCGATGCCCAAAACAAAGGAAGGAAAGGTTTATTTAGCTCACAGTTTATGGAGGTTTCAGTCCATACTCAGCTGGCTCCAAGGCAGGGTGGTGTGGCTGAGGGGCAACCACTTATGGTGGCTGCGGTAGGGACCAAAAGGGCAAAGGGGCGAAGCAAGCCTCTTTCCCTCCCTTATATTGTATGCAAGCTACCCATGCTAGGGCAATGTAGCACTCACACTGCCAGTCTCGGCACTAGACAATTGAACCAATCACAAACTCTAGATTCAGCAGCTTTGAAAGCCC